GTCTGCATTTTGATTCGTAATCGAGGATAGATGAGATGTTATGGGCCACAGAAAGTTAGACTGTGTGCTCGTGTGTCACCCTATCCTATAAAAAAAGTTTCACAATAGGCGCACAACCTGGGTTTGATCCCTACCGGCACCAGAAATATCAGCGCGAGAGTGTAGGCTTTGCACTCACCAATCTGCCTACTCAGAAAGGTGTGAATATATTTGTAAAATGATCTAAATAAGACCATAAGTTGAAATTCGGTTTTTGAAGCCTTTTGTATGTACATTAAGATTAAGAGTACTTTGTATCATGCGAATGTAATAGCGGACATTCGCTATTTTATTATAATAATTCCGTACCAGAAAGCAGCTTCTTTAAATACACATAATCGCGAAATAAGTCAGGAAATTTGCTTCCGTTGTACAATGTAATAAGCAAGTTGTTTTTAATGAACAACCTTCATTCATTCCGGTTATATTTATTAGCCAATTTAAAGCATATTATATGAAATTATTGTATTAAATACGATACCACACCCACCCTCATTAAATCGAATTGGCAAAAACTATTTTATCACGTTCTATGTGGTAAGCCTGTTTTTATATCTATAGTAATTGTGGGTAATAAGGCCCTAGGGAAGTTCGAAAAAAGTGAGATATATCTAATTTGGTACACAGATTTTAATAAAAATCATTAGCTTAATACGGTTTCTATAAAGTACGAACGAAAAATTGTCACATTTGCCATTAAGAAAAACAAAATTAAACATTTCTAAAAACCTTGCTAATAGGCCGTATTTTACTATGGTATAATGAATGCAGCAATTAAGACTGAAAGTTCTAAAAAAATATAAATTTCCTCGCCTAACAGCACTTAAGGTCATTAGTATAATGATGAACAAACTGACAAACAAACGCACTCCTCGTGATTAATTATCATCAGTGCGTCGGTTGTGTCTCGAGTTGAGATGAGTGTTAGGTTGAGTTGAGAGTTGGGTTGATTGTTCTGTTGAGTGTCCTCCCGACCAAATTTTTCTTAGTATGCATAAGCACAGGTGCATTCTCTATTCCCTCAAGATCATCAAATCGCAATCCGACACGGTCCGAGAGAGCTTTACACATATTTTAATAGCTTCTAATGTCAAAGACTTACTTTGTCTTTGGATAGCTGAAACCAGGTCGTTTTCTCACTACGACACTAGTTTAGTAATAAAAGCGTACGATTTATTTGCATTTATAACATTTTAAAAGTGATATAAAATACATTATTAAACAAAAACACTACACACGAAGAGGGAGTATAATAAGGCCTATGGTAAAATTTGGTAAGCCAAAATAACCACCAAGTAAGTAATTAAGAATACCCAAATTTTTAATAAAAATTTGACGACGATACGTTATTCATGTCTTCAAGATCAACAAAGCATTTATTCACAAAGATTAAGATTTTAGATAGCTAAATGTTATGTTACAAAACATATTAAGATTTATTTGGACTGATTTTCATTATTGGTGTTGTGCGGTTATATCACGTGATAGATGATGCAAATCTGGCAGGACGCGAGGTAGCGCGTCTCTGCAAACTTATATAGACATTATCGTGCAATGGGAGTCTGTTATTATCTCCTTGAGCGAGAGTGGTTATTATAAATACGATTTTTGTTACTTAGGCTTTATTAGCCGACAGCCCTTACTACCCGCAGGTACTAAGGTACCTGCGGGTAGTAAGGGCTGTCTGTTGTTTTTATTTACTGCATGACTTTTTTTAACAGCCGGAAAAAAATAGGGCGTAACAGGTGAACGAAAAATATTATATATAAATTTCATAATAATATATTAATATAAAAGGAAATAATTGTAAAATATCAGTGCCACAGGCCTCTTTTCCGTTCACCTGTTACATCCTATTTTTTTCAGATGGTAAAAAAGATCACCCAGTATAAAGTGTGTTTATATAGCCTACAAACAAAAGTTTCAGTTCTGGATGTTTGTCTATGTTGCATGAATATATATAATAAAACACCTCCACGATACATTAGAAAACCTTAATAGTTTAAAACAAATAAAGAAAAAAATTACGGGCTGTGACCTGTGAGCCATTCCATTTTAGCTCGCAAAGATAAAAATAAACCTCGAAACGTCTTTTTTAAAGTTGGTTTCAGATGTCCATGGTCTGCCGTAGCCAGTTACATCAGGAGGACTGTCAGCTCGTGTTTCATTTTAAGGGGAGAAAAATATCATAATTTTCGACTAGTAAACTGTCAACACATAAACATTAACATTTAGATTGCATTGAACTCATTTTCACAATTTATGATTTCAGTTAGGACGAAACCTTTTATTTTGTTTAAGTACCCGGACGCTCCAAGCGACATCGTTGGTCCTTTTAAAAGATATAGCCACTTTGTTTTTTAAACGCCTGTGGGACCCTCTATAGTCCCACCACTGACTTATAATTAGAAAGAAAAATATATCACCTTCTTGCCTATTTTTGCACCAAGCATTGGTGCACCGATCGTCGATATATTATTTGACAGAGTCAGTATAACTTTACACTGTAAGGCATTTAATTTTGATCCTTAGAGGTTACAATACATAGGCTTTGTTTATTCGAAGGTCAACTAGGTCGTGTATTGTGTCTATGAGTTTGAAAGTCGCTATAGATTTTCAAAAGCTATCATTACGAATACGGTCAAAGATAAATCAATATATTAAGTTATAAATCATTATAATAATAATAATGTCCTCCAAACCGAATTTCGGTCACGGCGGCCTGCCTCAATGGAAACTAGCCATCGGTGCAGGACAGGATTTTAGTGCCCAAGTGTATGCGCAAGCACAGGTGCACTCTCTATTCCCTCACTCTCATAATCCAATGAGACGGTAAACCGACACGACCAGAGAGAGATCAGGCGCAGGACTAACGGCTTTGCGTGCTTTGCGACGCACGGGGGGAGACACCGCCAACTTTCTGATTCCGGGCAGCTACTGAGAATTTCTTGACGAAAAAACTCAATAATTGATTTTTTGGCCCGACCCGGGATACGAATCCAGGACCTCATGATCAGCAGTCGCACTAATACAACCACTAGACCAACGTGGCAGTCATAAATCACTATACGTACATTATTATTATATATCAATACGTTTAAATACGTGTTATGAAGAGATATGAACTGGTCATAACCTTAGTTTGACCATTTGAAATTTGTATATGCGTCGGTCAACTTCAGTGAAGTCGCATCACAACATTAACCATTCACAGCGCCCTTTTCAATGCAATGCGTACGCACAATGGTTCATGAAATTAGGGGCATGTCATTCTAAACGCACTTAGATACATTAGTGTTGCTCCTATACCACCTATATACAGGATGGAAAAAACGAACGGGTTTAATTAATGAGCCTGCAATAGAATAATTAGCATTTATCATTATCGTAGACTCTATCGATTAGATCAATAAAATAGTGATTGCCTATTTTTTGTATTTTAGTTAATTCGATTCTCGGCTCAGGAATGTTTAAAAAAATGTTTGAATGTGGCTATTCTTATTTAGAAAAACCAACAAATATTTCTTTGGGGTAAAACTTGAGAATTACATTGTTTAATGTATTTTTCCTCCAAGACCCGTTTATTTTTTTCACTCTGTATTTTACAAAGTATACCTACGTATATATATATTAAAAAGCAATGGTTACCTGTATATGATAATGTCATGTTTGTAAATACGGGTGCGCTATGTTTGTGTTCAAATACATTATTATTATAACCCCCTGTATTATTTCACAGTTTAATTTATCTACTTCAATATTTTTTGCTGAGTCGATAGCATTAATTGCCGTAGTTAGTAAACGTAACGTATAAGTATCGTATAAAATGTACGCTTGAGTATTATTCAGTGAATATCATAGTCGAAGATGGGTGGAGCTGTTGTTTGTTTCATTTTAAGTTTATTTATCAATCTGCAGGTTTCTGGTAATAGATTCGAATTCGCATCTTATCTATACGAGAATAGAACAGACCCAGCTACTCGACAGCTCTATGAATTTAGAAAACAACATCCGGTATGTATTGAAGAAATTGCCGTATTAATATAAATATTAGATACTATAGTATTAATAAATATTACAGTGGTATTACTGTAAATAAGAACTCCTTTTGTTTTTTTTTTCTGTGTGTTTATTTTAATATCATTTTTTTAATAACTTGGTTCCGTGTGTGCTCGGGTCGAATTTTGTAATTGATTTTAATTAACTTCCCAATGAGGTAAACTCCTGAAATTTTCAAGCACAGCTCAGAATCCTTCTGGAAGAACTCGCTTGACAATAACCACAATTTCCTCAGTAATCGCAGTTGAGGATCAACCTTCATCAATGAGATGCGTCCCTTCCAAAAGAGTTTTGAAGATTAGTAGTGCAGTTTTGCGGGGAGAGTTAACTTTAAAAATCGTATAGAATCATCTCCCTAAAATCTTTTCGCTTAATTCCATTCTGCTACTGATGACAACTTGTGATAAAAAAACATTTGGCTAGCAACATCGCGTTGAAATGAATTTAATTAATATATGAATTTTTTATGTTTTAAAAATATAACATTCGAAATTTAAACATTTATGAGCGGCCAGAAACGCTGAAAAACTAAACTTTCAATGTGCCATATGTATAAATTATTGTTGACTGTTGATAAAGCTGTTTTGTGGCAACGTTAGGAAATTTATTAACCGAATCTAATATATTCTTATTAAATAAATATATTTACGCTCTATGGGTGTCGGTTTGAAAGGATATAATGTAAGATATATAATGTAACATATAAAATAATTGACAAAGGTAATGAAAAGGCGGCATAGAATCAGAAAAATAAACTATCCACCTTACAACGGACCCAAACTTACCAAGCTAATAATGCAGAAAAAGAAGAGCATTTTGTGATTTGATGATGATTGAATGATCATAAATAGTTTCCATTGTTAAACGCGGTAGTTATTAATTTTACACTTTGCCATCTTACAATGGTAATAAGAAACGTTGGTGATGTTTCAGTGCACATTTATTAGATGTAATGTAATGCAGGCATGCGATCTTTAGTTTTCGTGTGAATTCCATAATTTTTTTTGAAGGAACTATTAATTTATTATTAAATAAATTATGATTATTTTGTTAATGAATTATTTATTAAAGACATTAAGTCCATCCCATGTAATCATTTTACATATAATGGTGTTTACAATAAAGTGTAAATTATAAATTAGGTAAACAAGATAGGTACGTGAAATACACGTTTTTTTTCGGAATGTACTTTCTAATATCATCACCATCATCATTAACTCACAAAAGTCTACAGCTGGGCATAGTCCAACCCTGCTTTAGGAACGATTTATCTTTATCGCTACGATCTACAGGCGGGTTTCGCTTAATTTTCTCCTAATACATACGCGGAATGAGATTAGGAAGTAAATCCTCTTACAAAGTCACCATACAGTAAGTTACTGAAAAATAAGTCTTGTTTTTTTCCAAATAATATTTATTTTAGAAATAAAAAAAAAACATATTTTCAATTAAATATCTCTAATGATATTGTATTTACGTGGTAGAACCATGTTATTATGGTTATAGCACGAATGGGTCGGCTCGACCGAGGTAGAACCACGCACTTACAGAATACTAGCGTAAAATAGCAGCTTAATGCTGCTGTGTTTTGTATGGTGAGTGTAGAGAATCTGAGATCTCTTATTATTGGAAACAAGGCGTTCCATCTTAATTCTCAAAGAAGACATTACATCAGCATTTTGAATTTTAATCGAGGATAAATGTAGATGTCTATGGACTGCAACATCCACATACCACCAAGTAGACTGTAAAATAATAGCATAATGCTGCTGTGTTGTGTATGGTGAGTGTAGAGAACCAGAAACCTTTATTACTGGCCTTTATTATCTATAAACGAGGCATTAGTCCTCACGGGTGAGAATGCATTCCCATTTTGATTCGTAATCGAGGATAGATGTGGATGTCTATGGACCACAGCAACCACTTACCATCAGGTGGTCTGTGTGCTCGTTTGTCATCCTACCCCATATAAAAAAAATTCAACTGGTAAAGTAAAGACAAAGTCTTGGATGATACGCACCTAACGATATTATGAACCGTCCGCATATTAATTGCTTAGCAATTAAAATTATTATAGGTTGTTTTTTCTCGCCAAATTTGGTTTTCGAATATTTTTTCGATCAATTATTTGGTCAGAGTCTCGTCCAACAGTCGTACCCAAGTCAGTTAGTTGACAAGACCAAGTCAGTCGGTGCTAAGACACATTGTATAGAAATTTTAATACCCCGACTTCTGAAGCTATTATTCGGGATTTATTTTATTCTTTTTAGTTATTTACAGGAGGCTTGTACTATTATTAAAAGATTTTTTGACCCTTTAGAATGTACAAATGTATATCAAAAGTTCGAATGCCGTCTAATTAATTACACTAAGACTTCATTTCCAATTATTTTTAGTAAACTTTTTTTTTAAATCGCTCCACAATTAATGAAGACATCAAGTAATATACCTACAAAAAAGAAACTTACAATTTCAATTGAGATCCTCTTCCTTTTTTGAAGTCGGTTAAAAAGGTTAAAATACTATCATTAATACACTCTTGCTGTCAGTTTTTTTAACTTAAATGTATTTAATTACTGATTACAGGTACCGATTGGACTCTTAACGGCAAGTTCAGGATACCCAGTAGAAGTCAGAGATACGATTACCTTAAACACCGACATTTTCTCTAATAGATTTTTCATTGACTCTATACTACATCTGGACCATGAAAGAGTACCTGAAAGAGTAGTACACGCGAAAGGAACTGCTGCACTTGGATATTTTGAAGTTACCAACGATGTTTCGAAATATACTAAAGCTGACGTATTCAATGGTATTGGTAAAAAAACTCCTGTAGTAGGAAGATTTTCTAGTGTTGCACAAAACAAAGGAGGCAATGACCTCGCAAGGGAATTTAAGGGTTTAGCTGTAAAATTTTATACACAGGAAGGAAACCTTGATTTACTTTGTTTAAATGTGCCAGTTTTCGTATTAAAAGATCCAGAGTACTTTGTTCATTTTGCCCATGCTTCGAAAAGAAATCCCAGAACAGATTTATTTGATGATATAGCAAAGTTGGACCTTTTTACTTTAAGACCTGAAATGTTACATGGAGCTTTGTGGATGCTATCTGATTATGGCATACCAAATGGCTACAGAAAAATGGACGCATTTGCATTCCATACTTTCGAACTTAATAACAAACAGGGAGAAAAGTATTTCGTAAGGTTTAATTTTAGAACCGAGCAAGGTATAGAAAATCTGCCTTCCGAAGAAGCAATTAAAATAAGCGGAGAAGATCAAGATTATTACCAAAGAGATTTATATAATGCCATAGCTATGAAAAATTATCCAGTATGGACGTTGGAAATGGACGTTATGACGTATGAAGATATACTAAATTTAAATTACGATCCGTTTGATATCACTGTTTTATGGAAAAAAGGAACTTACCGGACAGTTGAAATAGGTCGTCTAATTTTTAATGAAAACCCAGATAATATGTTTAGAATTTCTGAACAAAGTGCATTTAATCCTGCAAACCTGGTTCCTGGTATACCTGGTCCTTTTGATAATGTCTTTAAATCTCGTAGACTTTCCTATCAGGACACTCAGAATCATCGTTTAGGTATCAATCATAATAGAATGGAGGTTAATTGTCCAATATATCAAAAGGTTTACAATCGTGACGGATATCCACCTGTCAAAGACAACATGAGGGATGCGCCTAACTATTATCCAAATTCATTTAGTGGACCGGTGCCATTTGTGGATGCAAGCCGACCAAAAGAACGTTTATGGGTAATGGAGAGTAACGCAGTTGATTTAGAAGAAGTTTCGTATTTCTACAATTATGTGCTAGAAAATGATCAACATCGAGATAGATTGGCAAATAATACTGTCAAATTACTTTTACGAAATCCTCCATTCATACAAAGAAGGTTGATTACTTTATTTTATTTGGTTGATCAACATTTAGGTGCACAAGTATCAAATAAATTGCACAGAGCCCTTAAAACTGTTATTACACAAAACCCAAAAGTACTGAGAATTCCAAGAGTAAGATGTCACTAAAATATTATAGATTATTATATAAATGTGATTAAAGAAAAAAATGTGTTACATTGTAAAATTATATTATAATTTTATAACAAAACTTTAATCGTAAATTATTATTGTAATACTATTCATACCAATTAAGTGCAATCGAAAATTAATATCAGAAATACGTGCAAAATTTACCGATACATTTACGATACACACAGAAATTCAACGTGGTAGATGGCTCTAAATTGACAACAAGGGGTCTACTACGTTAAGTAGTAGAGCTACGCTGCAACTATATTATGGTTGTAGCACGAATGGGTCGGCTTGACCATGGAAAGACCACCCTCTCACAGAATACCATCGTAAAAGCAGCATAATGCTATTGTGTTACGTATGTTGAGTGTAGAGAACCGGAGACCCCTTTTACTGGATACCAGGCATTCCATCTTAGAACTCAGTCGTGACAACGCATCTGCATATTGATTCTTAATGGATGATAAATGTTGATGTCTATGGACCATAGTATCTACTTACTATCAGGTGAACTGCGTGCTCGTTTGTCACCTATAAACAAAATACTTTCTATTTATTAATTAGAAGATATAGAAAAGTGTACACCGTATTAATTCAACAAAATAGAAAAGGAAAAAGAATAAACAAATGGCTGATAATTAAAGGTAATCATAACATGCATATTTTGACAATATAATGCAAAGAAAACTAGAAATCAGTGTCATAAAAAAGAAAACTTATTACAAATCAAATACAATCCGATAAGACATGATCTGATAAATGCACTAATTTAGTGGATAGGTCATGGCCTAAGAGGAAGTTGTAATGATGATGATGATGATGATTAACCAAACTAAGCTATTTAAGATAGTTTTAAGTCTCCTTCTTCTTCATCATCTGGCAGCTATCGACGAGTTGCCTTAATCGTTACAGTTGGCAGACAGAGAGCCTGTTATTATATTGGCTACTATTACTAGTGGCTAAGTGTACACGTACTGCAGTCTAAGTATAAAGCTGAGTATATCGCCTCAGTAGCTACCTTTTTTTTCTTTTATATAATGTCATAGAGTTATAGAACACTTATTAGGTGTAACAACGTTACGTTACAATTTCATAATGAACCTGTAATCTAATTGCAATTAACACCACTCATCCTTCGTATCTTACTGCAAAATCAAGAATAATTACAGGAAAAGCTAATTTTAATAATTTTTACTTAAGAATTGAGGTACCCGTGATAAATATTTCTTTTCTTTATAATAGAAAAGATAACAGCCTATGTTGCAGAGTTTTCGTAAACATGTTGTTTATACGCTATGCATGTTGTCTATTGAGTGAAGCAGTTAATTCTGCAAAATTATGACGGCCATATTACGAGATAGGTAGCGAAGAAGTACACAATTTACTTGTAATAATGTATTTAATTTAAAAGTTACAAGATTGATCAAATATTTTTGATAAAATTCTTGTAATTAGGGAAGTTTTAACGACCGGATTTTAAGTGACAAAAGGCTTCTTTCGAACCCGGCGATCAGTTTTTATCAATCGATGAATCGAAAATTGAAAGATGATGCAAGTGTGATCGTTGTTGTATCTTAGGGCGACCTCAGATATACTCGTAACACAGTACAACATGAACGTATTACGGAAGTGTTTACATGTGTGTTTCTTTATACTCATCATACAAGTTGTTAACCATCGCACTAGAATGTTTTTCTATATCGGAGAAACGTTAGATTTTAAATTTGCTTCCTTAAAGAACTTCCAAGCCCGAAATAGCTGGCCATATATTCAGTTCTTTACGGAATTCGAGCCCACGATCCCACACTAAACGGCAGCTACTGTGCTACCAAGTCGTTATAGGTAGGTATTGGTGAGGTTTCCGATCTTCAAAGAACCAGTTCATGATTTACAACACATGCTAGTGGGAGTACTATACGAACGACGGGAAATTGTCATTCATAATATGTTAAACTCTAAACAAGACTGGTAGGAAGGCTTCTTCCCACTACTTTTTTTATAAAAACTGAAGTAACAAACTATTTAGTGCAATTTTCAAAAGTGGGTGCACTGTTGTTTGTTCACCAATTGATAAAAGAGTGAACTTGATAGACAGGCTAAAGATATAAAAGAGTAAACTTGATGGACAGGCTTTAAGATATAAAAGGACTTTGCTACCGCCGGCATTGCCACATAATTAGAATTGTATTGATGTGTAACATCTTTCCTCTCGCTTTCTCGCAATCTGTGGAAGTGATTTTGTGAAAAGGGACGGAAGTGTGTAACAGCAAGCTGGGGAAGCAGGAGCTATTTGATTTGACCAATGAGCGCGCGCGTGGTATAGTGTAGTATTGTATAAACGAATTTATATGTATAAACTATATTAATGAATGTATTTACTGTGATAAAAAATGCAAGTGAGTAATAATGAATAATTATTCGAATAAATATTTCAGTATTTAGCCTTTATACATTTTGATATTAATTTTAGTAGTTGCTCAATGGATAATAATAATAATATTTATTTCTATTTACAAAAGCAGACCATATATAGTAACATTTATATCTATTTAAATATTGGTATGTTCATACTCATAGTTATATTATAATTATATATTAGGCAATAAAATGCCTTGAATTACACAAATCACATGGCCCTAACACCACGAGATAAACAAGAGCATTATTGATAATTAAGTGATACTGGTATCGCAGCACACGCACACGCACATACAAACGCACTCGCACACGCATGTGCGTTTGCGTGCGCGTGTGCTTGTGCATGTGCGTGTATGTGTGCGTGTTTGTGAGTGTGCGTGTATGTATGTTTGTGTGTGCTTGCATGCATGCGTCCGTGCGCGCGTACATGCGTACCTGCGTGCTTGAGTGCGTACGTGCATGCATGCGTGCATGCGTGCGTACGTTCGTGCGTGTGTACGTGCGTGCGTGCGTGTGTGCGTGCGTGTGTGTGTGTCGCGCGCGTGTGTGTGTGTGTGTGTGTGTGTAGTTGTGTGTGTGTGCATTTGAGTGAACAAATTTTATTTATGAAGTAAATTTTCTGCACGGTTAAAATCCAATTTTTTAACCATTCCGCAACAATAAGTTCGCATTTAATTATTTATACAGGTTATTACTATGGTAACACAAAAATGTGTGTAGGGCTATTTTTGTATAGAGTTATTGTGCAAGCTTTAGATCATTGCGGCGCCGATTGCTGAAGTTATCTGCTTCATATTTTTACTGTGAATGTTGTTTAAGGACAGTATATCAATTTTAAAGCTGTCGGATGGTCAGGACGCTCCGTTTTTGATAGTGGTCTAATGATGAGATAATATTTTTAATTTTGATTAAAAACAAATGGAGTCTTTTTATGATGTAATGTTAATGTTGCTTATCACCAAGGTGAGATGTCAGATGCTACACCTGATATGTAAAGTTTCACTGTAAGGTTTGCTCGTTTTTTCAAAAAAAATTTTGACTTTTCTTAACGAATGAGAATTGCCCATGAGGGCATAAATCGATAACAATAAGCAGAGATAAAAATCTAAGAAACGTAAATTAGTAAATAATGATCCTAAGATGTATAAAGCATAAAGTTATTCCAGTGCAGAACAGTACTTAAAGTGCATTAAAGTACAGTAATTAAAATGCATAATTGAAAATAATTGGTAAGTGTAACATAGTTTAAATTTGAACGCGGTTGCATTATCCGCCCAGTTCAAAATGGACCGAGTGATTGTTTGCCTCTTTATTGTTTTTTTTAAGCATCAATATGTTATGTGTAATGAATATGATTTTATATCTGACAAATATGAAAACAGAACCGATCCGGCTACTCGTCAACTGTATGAATTTAGGAAGCACCATCCGGTAAGTTTTATTTATTCTTACTTCTCTAGGCTGAAATCAAAGCAATAATCGTGATACTTAGTTACTCGACAGAAAGAGTGATTATTATTTTACTTACGTGTCTAGTTACTTTTTTATAGTATAAGTGATAAAACATTAATTAATGCCTTATTTCTTGGAAAGTTAAAGGTTGAGCGTCGATGTTAATACTTAATTTGCTTGGTGTAATAGTCACCTACTTTTTGTATTATTTTGTCTTTTTTATTGATTCTTTCACCATTTTGAAACCTACGTAAAATGTGCAGAACCTGTCCAGAATTAAAATTGAAATTCCAGAATTAAAAATGAAATCTATTGTAGAGAAGGCTTATATGTAACAGTATACTATAGAGGGCTGGACAAGAAAAAGAAATTATCAATACATTTAATTTTTTTAATTAAATGTACTGATATAAAGTCATTTAATAATTAATTTGTTTTCAGAAGCCCATTGGTCTTCAAACTACCAGTTATGGAAATCCAGTGGAAATAAGAGATACTAATACATTAAACAGCGATATATTTTCAAATTCTTATTTTTTTGAATCTACAATGCACACGGATGCTGAGAGAATTCCGGAAAGAGTTGTACACGCAAAAGGTACGGCAGCTCTTGGATACTTTGAAGTAACTCATGATGTATCTAAGTATACCAAAGCGGATGTATTCAATGGTATTGGAAAAAAAACTCCTGTTGTAGGAAGATTTTCTACAGTAGCACAAAACCTAGGAGGAAGTGATGTAAATAGAGAAACAAAAGCTTTGGCAGTAAAATTTTATACCCGTGAAGGAAACTTAGATTTGCTTTGTGTAAATCAGCCTGTATATTTTTATCAAGATCCAATACTTTTTAAACATTTTGCACATAGTATTAAAAGAAATCCGAAAACAAATTTATTTGATCGAACCGAACAAGTGGATTTTTTAACTTTAAGACCGGAGTCATTACAGGCATTTTTGTGGCTACTATCAGATTTTGGATTACCAAATGGCTATAGAAAAACGGATATCTTTCCAATCCACACATACGAATTAAACAATAGGAATGGCGAAAAATACTATGTTAAGTTCAATTTTAGAACGGAGCAAGGCTTAGAAATTTTAACAACAGAAGAAGCAATGGATATCGGCTCTCGAGATCCGGATTATTTTACCAGAGAACTGTATAATGCTATAGAAGAGAAAAAATTTCCGGCGTGGAAATTAGAAATGGATGTTATGACATATGACGATTTATTAAAAATAGATTATAATCCATTCCAAGTTAATAGATTATGGAGGAAGGGTACATATCATACGGTTCAGATTGGTCGTCTGGTGTTTAACAAAAATCCAGATAATATGTTTAGAATAGCTGAACAAAGTGCGTTCAATCCTGCAAACTTAGTTCCAGGTATACCGGGACCTGTGGACTTGTTATTTAAAGCACGGAGGCTTGCATACGTTGATACTCAAAATTATCGTTTAGGTATAAATCATAACAAAATTGAAGTAAATTGTCCTATTTATCAAAAAGTGTATAATCATGATGGTGTTTCTCCTGTCAATGATAATATGAAAGATGTTCCGAATTACTATCCAAACTCATTTAGTGGGCCTGTGCCGTTCGTTGATGACTCACGATCAAACGCACGAATCGTAGTATTTGAAAGTAATGCTATTGATTTATCTGAGCCATCGTATTTCTATAACCATATTCTTAGAAATGAAACACAAAGAAATAGACTAGCGTCAAATATCGTTGAACTCATGTTACCGACGCCTCCATTTATGCAGATGCGGTTTATTAAACTGTTGTATTTAACTGATAATGATTTGGGTGATCGAGTTTATGTAGAATTGAATAAGGCTCTTACAAAACCTCCAGCTTCCGTGCCTGTTGGATTAAACATTGAGAGAGAGGTTTGTTTAAATTTGGAAAACAAAGAATACAAACATGAATTGAAAGAGGTAACTGAAGAGTTTAATTGAGTTTTTAGCGATAGTTGATTAATAATTTAAAATATTGACTATGCTCTTAAATTTATTATATACCATTTTTATGTTTTATTTTTGATATCTAATTCTGATAGTATCCTTATACCATCCATTTACATATACGTTGAAATAAAATAATAATCTTAAAAATCATTAAACCTAAAAAGATAAAAGAAAAAGAAGATTATTGACTTACCAAAAACTACGTTGACATAAGTAATATTTTGATGAATTAAAATAAAACAGGTGAACATGTGAGATAGGTAAGTATAAAAACTGTTCGATCGCCAACAAATTTCAGAATAAGTAATTTAGACGACGACAAGTTAATTAAAAATCTGAATCAACCTACGGATGCGTATGGTTAGACTCGTTTTAAATTAAAAAAGGGATTATTTATCGGACGTTTACTGTGATGTATAAAGCTACGATTCAATAATTTAAACGAGTCATATTTTATAATAAGAAACATATTTAAACTATAAGTAAATGGACGTTGTATGGTTATTTATTTACCCTTATTATGAAATAATAAATACTTACTTTCTTAATTGCAAAATTGTCCGTTTTCTGTTTTGGTTAATGTTTAGAATCCTCAAGAAAGAATTATTCAGATAAGCAATTCTTGATTAAAAAAAAATACGTTTGCGGCTTTTATGTTAAAGTATACTTACTACCAATACGAAGCACAGCAGTATTATTGTTACCTACATGTTTCTTCCTGGGTTGAATAGATCGATTCGTTTTGCAACATAATATAGCTGCAGCGTGGCTGTATCACGTATGAAAATATTCTAATAGGCATTTTTTTTAAATATATGTTAAATTCTTATTAAACTAAAGACAGCCGTGATAGTTTAGACGCCGACGCAAACATTTCATGATATGCGGGCAACCCAAGTTCCAACTTTCCACCGATGTCACGCGAGCCATTGGTGCGCCATCCCTGGCCTAGGGATTAATTTTAAGAGCTTGCAATTTACCCGGGCTTGATCCCCGCCATCATATAGCCCTTTCCACAATGGACATGAGGAATTTTGAAAGGGTTGTCCATACTTAACCATTTTACTGTCTGTACATTTTACCAAATTACCATACAGTAAAAAACAAAAATCGTAATAAAAATAACATGTCTCCTTACACTCCAAGTTGTAAATTATTATTAAAATAATAACTTTCAACGTTTATAATTGACTTAACAATATTCCATCAATTACAATTATATAGAACAGTTATACAGCGGAACTTACAACAATGTTTGAAATTATTAAACTCGATTTTATTTATTTATTTATTTCCTAACTTTGCTCTTTTTTGCAATTATGAAATTCTCTTCATATTAAAATCCATCTTTCCTTAACGATTTTTCTAATAGAAACAAAATCTAATAAATAATTCGCCAGTTATTAAATTGCTAGAAGGTTAAGGTTGTAAGAAGATATTTCTTAATCTTTATACAATGAATATTTTTTTCTGCGCATAAGTTGCTTTGTTAAATAAATACTACCTTTTAAGGTTCCGTAACCCGAGGGTAAAACGGATCCTTATTAATGTTAGTATGCTGTATGTAGACAGACACGGAAATATAGATAGACACAAACATGTGTCTATCTATAGTTCCGTATGTAAAGCATCTGTAGCTTGTAGATGCAATGAGTTACAGACCTGAAATTAGGATATTGGTATAGAATGTTGCCCCAAAACTAGTTTTTTAAATTAGAAATTGTTTTTCACGAGGAGGTCCCTATACATGAAAAGGAGTTAAAAAAATTAAAACGAAATAATTGTTCCGTAGCATTTACAATGTTATTGTTTTCAGCTTGTTGAGCTATACTCAATACAAAAATATTTTTTTTATATTTTTATCTTCAAAAATAAAGCAAAGATGGGCCGGCAAAGTTTGATTCTAAGCGTTTTGTGACTCTATCACAAAAACTTAATTGGAAATTTCTGTATGTTGAAATGTAACAGGAGATATGCAGCATCTTTTTTTTATAGGACTGGGTGATAAACGAGCACACAGTTCACCTGATGGTAAGTGGTTGCTGTGGCCCATAGACATCTACATCTATCCTCGATTACGAATCAAAATGCAGATGCATGGTCACCCGTGATGACTAAGATGGAATGCCTTTTTTCCCAGTAAAAAGGGTCTCCGGTTCTCTACAATCATCACACGAAACACAGCAGCATTACGCTACCATTTTACGCTGGTATTCTGTGAGAGCGTGGTCCTTCTCCGGTCGAGCCGACCCATTCGTGCTACAACTTTACTACTAATATAACTGCAGCATGGCTCTACCACGTATAAAAAAGTTAATGTTTTTTTTTACGTCTTTAATTACTTGGAATTGTTATCTTACTGATAATAATTCAAAGTACTGCGGTAGCTAGCACACTTGCCAAGCGAGGTAACTACGGCAAACATCCCTCCTCTTCACGCATGAAGCAATCTATGGAGGGAAGCCTATATTTAGCAGAGAACTTTGATATTTTTATAGGATTATCTGATGACGATAGTAAAGATTATAATAGCAATTCTAATATGGCACGTGCTGTATTTAAGCGAAAATACCGTAAACTTTCTGATGTATAATGTAGTTTGTAAGCTTTGACCAAAACCAAACGAAATTTTTATAGAAATATTTCATACTTGTTATATTATGGCATTCACAATTTAAAATTACAGTTCGTGAACCACATAGTTTATTAATCAGTGTCTAAGACTCCTAGGCTCAAGATTAAGAGTAATGGACTCAGCAGACTAACATGTGCATGATGTCTGAACGCATTTTACGGACTTCGTTTTCAACACAGCTTCATTTATTACAACTGGTGTTGAAAAAAGTTAAAGTTAGAGTTACAGCCTATCCATTGTATCTATACGCCGTATATATACGTCCCACTGTTGGGCACAGCGGCCTCCTCTCATTTCTGAGAGGGTTTTAAAGCTAGGAAGTGTCCGCCGCGCTGCCCCAATGCGTGTTGGCGAACTTCACGTCTTCGAAATACATATTTTTTATTTCTCAGACATGCAGGTTTCTTCCTGATGTTTTCCTTCACCGCCGAGTACGTGGCAAATCAGTATTTAAAATCGGCACTCAAAATTACAATTAACAATTTCTTTGGTGCCGGCGGAGATCAAAACCAAGTTGCTCGCGTACTGTGAAATTTAGAGCGAGCGCCATCCATCTGAGCTACAACGTCCGGCACAATTGGCTTTTTTTAATCTGGTTGAATTTATTTTAATTAAAAACACCAGCTGTATATAAAAAATATTTTAATTCAAAATTGGTCTTTACCAAAGCATTTTTTAACATTTAACAAAGTAAGCCATCGCTTCAATGAGACCCTACTCCGTAGCAAGCAGACGTAGATTTCTTTCCAACAGATATATTTTAAATTATAAAAAAACACTAATTTTTTTAATAAGAATGCTTTTTACACTTTTTGTATTTATTAAAAGGTATTATAGTAACATATTATTGCATGGAATCTTGTTATAATGTGGTTATATATCTACCAAAAAAGGCCTTTGATTTAATGCGTGTATTAAAATTATGGAAATCATTTATTTCAACTTATTTCATTACAAACCTTCGCAAATCAACTACTAATCATAGGCTTCTTACAACAAATGCCACAAAACACGTCCTAAGCCCTGTAGTGGCGGTTAAGAATATCTACTTAACCATATCTTCCCGTGGGTGTCGTAAGAGGCGATAGAGGGAAACTGAAGCAGGAGATGGGCAGCAGCATCTTACTGATAACAGCAAAATAACAATAAAAAAACTGCGGTTCACAACCTGCTACCCAAGCGTAGCAACTATGGCACTATGGGGTATATTGCCAGAGTTGCAATGGCTAGTGTTACAAATAGAGGGCCCACAACCCCCGGCGGCCACGCTATTCCTGGCTAAGGTGGCGAACATGGTAGCGGCGGGGCAAGGGGTGCTAAGAATCTCCGGTGGAGGTTCTGGCAACAATAAAGCACACACCGGGAAGACTAACAAGAAGATCTTGGAGCTGGAAAAAGAAATCGATAAGTTGTGTTGGGATATTAAAAGATTATCTGAGGTCTGAAGATATGGAAAGGACACGATAACCCTCGAATCCAGCAATTTGTTCTACCACCTGGAGGGCGACCATCTGTCCCAAGGAGGTGCCGGATTTATCGTCCACAAGTCTCTCGGTAACAACGTTGTAAAGATTGGGAGTGTGTCGACAAAGGTTGCGTACCTTATACTCACAATCACAAAATGGTGTTCGCTGAAGGTCATACAGGCTTACACACCAACCTCGGCACATCCCATTGAGGAGGTGGAATAAATGTGTGAGGATATTTCTGGAGTCATACATTCCACCATACTATACGTTGTTAATGGGAGATTTCAACGTTAAACTAGGCACGAGAGAGAACGGTGAGCTGAAGGTAGAGAAATTCGGGATAGGTCAACGGAACGCACGGGGCCAGCAGCTGGCTGACTTCATGGAGAAAGAGGAAGTTTTTATGATGAACTATTTCTTCCAGATGCAGACCGTTTGAATCTGATCATTCTAATATATAAAAATTTATTTTGTTTGTTCGTATTTTATGCGCTGCCATACCGTTCATCAGATTGCAGTTAAACTTTGTCAACATATTGTTTGCACTTCCTCGAAGACTACAGGCATAGCTAGAGCCGGTAGGTGGCGCTGTCTTGTAATCCAGATATCACCCGTGCGAAACCGGTGCAGATCGCTGTATAAATAAAAGAATAACGGTCTTTTGACAAAGCCCCCAAAACATACTTTATGCCATATTTTTCAAATTGACATGAGATACAGGAATTGACAACGATGAGTTCTTCTAAGGACCCTGTTTTTTAGTAGTTTCGAGCTCTGGCACTACCGCGAGGACAATTAATATAATTCGCGTTTCTATCTTCACAAATCTCTTATCCGTATGTTATTTTTTTATATTTTTTGGCGCAATATGTGTACTCTTCGGTAGA